GTAGCCTGTACAGGCTGCCGGGATAAATGCCCTGGCAAGATTTTGACACCAGGCGTAGAGGCTTTTTCACTCAACGGATTCTTTATAAATATAAATATTAGCGGCTCAGCATGGTTCAACAGGTGTTGATCAGTCACTGGCTTGGTCGACGTCAGGCTGAGGTCGAGCGATCGACCCAAACCCTCATGCACCAGCACTATAATTACAGTAGACTTTCGTGTGCTGACCCTCCCATGGCATGCCCGTACAGTACGCCTTCGGGCTGCAAGGTCGGGGGACGACAAAAGAACTATTATATAAAAAAACCCGTACAGTCTGGGGGGGCCTTTGGTTCCTTTTGGACACAAAATAACCGCCGAAACTGTTAGCATTCGTACGTGCACAGATGCGTGGACGGATGTATGGGTGCTCGAGGGCATCCACTGATGAGTGCCCGTTGGTACTCACATGGGGTTTTACTGGATAGTTATCCATTCCCCATCGCGACAACACACTTCCGGTCGGCGGCATTCGTCGTCGGGGTTAAGAGAGCTCTTAACCCAACTGGCGGAAGTGAACTCATTGTGTCCAGGAAGAGTCCAGGAACAATGTGCTCCGGCAATAATGGAGTTTAGGCCAAAGCGGCCCTTTAAACCCCGGTTACGTTTAAGAGCTTGTCCCTGGTTGAGATGCTACGTATGACCTAGCTGGGTCTGAGTAAGACTGACGCGGGTGGTCCACGTTTGGACTGCCGTGTCCAACGGACGACCGTAACTGGCCCGTTGTGACTTCTAAGACAGGGAGAGAAATCCTATCAGAATCCAAGGTCCGACCCGGGTTCAGTATCACCGACCCGCGCACGTGGACCCCACGATATCGACGGCATCGCATCCGCAACCCTCGGTTCGCCAACTTATCCGAGCGCGTCGAAGTCGCAACTCGACTCCTCGCGCCGCTGGAAGGAGGTCTCCGAGCGTCGTGGTTCTAGTGTGTGTCCAAAACTAACCGGGTATCCTGTCCGCGCGGACGAGCAGACCACGCGCGGACGGAAGCGACGACACGGTTTCGGGCGCTGGGGTACTTCGAAAGCGCACGCCCAGCTATCGGCACAGCCAGCCTCGCCTTCAGTGCGCCATATCCTCGCCGCTCTGCGCCGCCCGCGCAGAGGGCTCTTACGTGCCAAATGTGGGCTCGCCATCGATTTTCAAACAAAATGCTGTTTTTTTAGAGTGTCCAAAAAAGAAAAAAAGTGTCCAAAAGGAACTTAAGGCCTCCCATAGTAGCTACAATTATTTTATTTTGTAAGCTTATTTTAAAAAGGCGTGCGCAGGGCGCGGCTGACGTGAAATAACGTATAAGTTAGAATGACGTGCGCTACTTTTGGATAGCTGTAGGGCGTCGGGCAAATTTGCAGAAAACGGGTCCGGGTCGCACTTGGGCTTGGAAACATTAGGGGGATTTTCGGTTACGGATAGGTCAGTAAGCAAGCGTGCCTTCGACTGTTCCGTCCGCCGCACGGGTTGAGGGGCTGCAGGGCGAGGAGAGTGAGGGGCTGCGGTCCACCTCTGAACTGAATCCCAAATTCGGCGCCGATTTCTCACTTTTCCCCAAAAGTGGTATCGGTCTCACTTTTCCCCAAAATTGGTACCGGTGGAAAAGACTGCAGGGATTGGGGCTGCGGGAGAGGTGGGGGCTTGGGTGGCGGTTGACTGCGACTTGCGCGTCGAGGGAAGGATGTGCCTGCAGCCCCGCCTGCCCTTCGTGGGTCTGCGCCCCCGCTTCCCACGAGGTCGGAGTGAGCGAGGGTCAAGGCGCTGGCGTGAGGCTCGCGCGGTTGGGGGCTAAGGGCGAGACGGGATATCCGGGTTGCAGGCTGGCGGCGTGCGTAAGCTGTGTCCCAACTCGCCCCTCGTGGGGCTGCGATCGAGGTCCGCGGAGTCGACGGGCGGGGTCGGGGTAGTCGCGCCGGTGAACTCGTCGGGGAAGTGGGTTTTAAGATTTTGTTTTAATCAATTTTAAAAAATTAGTTGATTAAAATTGATAACGCCTAACTCTTTTCTGTAGTTGGTGTCAGTTGATGGGTGAAAATATTGGGGCAAATTGGCAACGTGAATTTGGTGGTTCAAATCTGCAGAATTATTGGTGTAAAACTAAAATGACGTGCGCTAATGCGCAGCTCGCGGTGGCGGTAATCTCTAACCCCTGGTCTAGTCCCAGGCGGCGGGGTGGGGTAGCGGCTGGACCCTTCAGTGTCGGGTTTCCAGGATAAAATTAAAATGACGTGCGCTAATGTGCAGCTCGCCTAACCACCTCGTTCTAATAACGAGGGCGGCAATCTCCAACCCCTGGTCTATTCCCAGACGGCAGGGTGATTGAGTTTGCGGCTGGACCCTTCATAGTCGGGTTTCCAGGACTTTTCATTCCGGGAATTTCCTATTCCGGGAATTCCGGGATGCAATTCCCGGGAAAAAAAATTGGGCACATTCCTGTTCCCATATTTCCGGAGTTTCCCATTCCGGGAATTTCCGGAATTCCCGGGATTTTTTATGTGTGCTCGATGCGCTCCACGGCGCTCTTTGGTGCTCCACGGAGCGCTGCAGTGCTCCTAGGTGATCCCCAGATGTACACACACTATATCTTGACACTGTCTAGGGTCCTGAGACCGCCACCTAGCCTGCCGCTGAGGCCGCCGCCGAGCTCGGAGCCTGTAGCGAATTTTTAATGTTTTCAAAAATGTGAGTTCTCCGCTGACTCCGCGTGTAAATTTAAATGTGAGTTTTAATCTTTAGAGCGCTCGAGCGCTATACCGCCAGAGACAGTTCGACAGGGACAAGCCAGGCTGGGCTCTCTCTACCGGGCGGGAGCTCCCTATGCCCCTCGGCGAGCTGCAGGCCAAGGTCCCTAAGCGCAAGAATGCCAAGAAGCGCCCCCAAGTCCAAAGTCGTCTCGAAGCACGGCCAGGCACTGACGATGAGCTTGCCACTGCGACTAGGCGCGACTAGGCCTAGGGGGGCACTTCAGCTGCTACTACTGGTAGCTGGACTAGCTCTTAGAGGTGTATTGGGGTACATCTGGTACGTTTTTAGACTGGTTTGGAGACACATTCCCATATGGAAAAAAGTGGAAATTCCCAATCCCATGTTCCCATAATTCCTATAATTCCCCGGAATTCCCGGATTCCGGCTATTTTGAATCAGGGTTAGATGCTTGTAGAACTCTGAAGAGCTCCCTAGACGTCAAGTTTAACAGGGAATAACTTGGTCATCGTGGTCCGTTACCTGATTCTTTCAGGAAGGACGAGAAAATGGTACCTAAAAAATTTTTACTGGCATCTTCCTGGCCTTGTTACTACATATCATGAAGTATGCTCGTTAGGAACCTTGGAAACACACCTAAACGTAGGTTTGGACGAGGAACAATTTTGATATTTGGTTTGACAACTGATTCTAACGGGATCGTCAAAAATCAGAGGAGACGAAGTGTGGGTGGTACAGTCATAGACGGGCATTTAAAGGCACGGCATTAATAAACTGATCCTCAATGTTTGGGCCAGTTAAGCATTGTTTGTATGTAATGTAACTATTGTTTGTATTTATTTTACTAAGAAAGTGAGCCTCACTCTGATTCTCTGCTTTCTTAATGCCCGTCTATGACTGTATTTCAGCATCCGGATCTACGTACGTCCCCTCACTCTGGAGGCCATTTTCTCGTCATTTCGGAAAGAATCAGATAACAAACTAAAAATGAACTAAAATTGTTCCCCCTCAAATTCTACGTCTAGATATGTCTCCAAAGTTTGATGAACACCCAATTGGAAATTATTTATATTCTCGGAAAATAAATGCTCACTAAAATTACCCCCGCCCTCTGCTAGTGTAGTTAGTTAGTATGACCCTTCAACACACCTGCAAACGCCCGAGGCGTTGCGGGAGTAAGCGTATGCATGAACTAATAGACCGCGACCATAGCCTCGACCGCGACCGCACACGACCACGGCCCGCTAGCAGACCGCGACCACTGTCTAGACCGCGGCCGCTCGCGGCCGCGACCGCAGCCGAGTCCGCGACCGCTCTCGGCCGCGACCACAGCCTAGACCGCGGCCGCTCGCGACCGCGACCGCGCCAGACCGCAGGCCGCGACCACTACCTCGTGAAAGTTCATGCACACGCTTATGCGGGAGGTGCTTTAATGATATTTGCAGTGGGAGGGGGCGCTCAGCTCCCCTGAGCAGCAATCAGCCTTGATGAAGATGGCTACACTGTGTGTGTGCTCGACTTGTAGCCACACGACGACGTAGCCCACGATGCGCCGCCTGCCAGTGAGTGATATAGGAGATATGCAAGATCCCTGTTACACCTGAATGCGATCCCCAAGTCCCGCGAGCAGATTGGACGACACGTTGAAGCAGCGTGCCGTACATCGGTTTTCATCGGATCGAGCGCTTTTAGCATTGGACCCGGGATCCGTGGATGCCGGCGTCGATGGCTTTGGCGGTGGCGAAGCTGCGCGCACCTTGTCCTTCTTGCCGGTGCCCGTGGTCCTCGGCTTCATCTTATGGCCGGAAAGCACGTGCGGCTTCTTCTACTGCGCGCGAGTGGTGCTCTGTGTTGGCCGTCAGCGCGGGTTGAGTAAGTCCGAGCTGCTCTGCATGGCGATCTCCTCTGCACGGCGTCCCAGCACCAGATCGGTCAGCGAGGAATCAATCGACGGCAGATCGGGCCGTCGACCTGGGCTGGAAGTGATGCCTCCTTCTTCATCTCGCTGTTCCGTAAAAATGCGGCTGCAGCTGCGCACGGAAGACCTCCAGGGACGTCGAAGTCATTGGCATCATGCAGATGCTGACATCAAGGTCCAAGCAGGTCGCGCACGTGGTGTCGTTGAAGCCTTTTGATCGTCTTCGTCTGCTCCTTCGCCTGAAACATCGAACTAGGCGATCTGGCAGGATTCAGCTTCTCCACAGAAGTCGGAGCGCAGCGCGCTCTGACCTCTGGGTGAGACACGTGTCACGACATTTCCGTACAGTGATTATAGTTTAATGGTTTAGGATCCCCGCCTTCGGGTGGAGGTCCTGAGTTCAATTCTCTGGGTGCACGCCTTTAGCCCCTTTAGGTGGGCACCGTTTGGTTAAGTCGGTTTGGCCCCGCGAGCTCTCTGAGTAACCAGGCTCAGGGGGGGGGGGGGGCGGTAACTGTGTTCTCGGGGAGTGGTCCTGGACATGTCCGGGAAACCGTCACCGGGGACGGACGTCCTAATCAGAAATCCTATCCTTTTACAGTACTGTAAAAACCCTCCAACAAGGCTCAGCTGCAAAGAACGGGCAAATTCACTCGCGAGAGAGACGTCGTTATAAACTGACGACGATAAAAGGTCGAACGAGCAAAATAACTTGCTATAATTCCGCAGCGCAGCCCGCGGAGCCCAGAAATATCGCGTTATGATTTCCGGTAAAGCCCCAGCGCGAGTCAAGGTTAATCAGCTTTCGTCAGCGTTAGTTTGCTTATGTCAAAGCTCAGTTCGGCCTCGAGCACGCTCCGCAGATCGCGTAAGTCGCCGACCCTTGCCTCTCGCCAGCTCGCTCTGCCTCCATCTTTACAAAAGACAAATGGTGACAGCGTGTATCCGTTTGCCATGCGCTGAAAATTTGTAGCTTTTCTTCAGTTCATAATAATAAGCCAACTGGAGGTCGCAGATGTCGTCAATCTGATTGAATCCTGGCTATTCCCATGACCATGTCGAGTCGTTTACGGCAATGTGCGCGGTGACCCTACGTGTCCGACGCGCGGTGCGTCGGCTACAGCGTTTCGAACGCAGCCTATCGAAATAGACCAAAAAGCTGGTTAAATAGGCGCTCAGAGGTCTAGCCGCTTAAGTCCCCTAGCTACGCTGATAGTTATATAAATGAATGCTATATTTCTGACGAGAACGTCTGCTGTCTGTGCAACATTTTGAGCATCAGATCACTACATATTCCCTGCTGTAATTATTGCGGCCGGCGAGCCGCAATCATCATCAATCAATAAAGCCGGGCCGCCTACGGTCCGATTGGCCGCATATCCCAAATTGTTGCTTTGTTGAGCATATGCTTATAATGAATAGGCGGAGATGTTAACACTCTGCCAGTACTGAGGAGTGCTAGAACTACTTTAATGGCAAAAACGGGCATCAGTGCGTGATATTCAAAGTCAATCCAAGCTAGAAAGTCATCATTATTAAGCGATATTTAGCGCCGGCTGCTAGGGGAGACTCGTCGCGAGAGGCTGCGGCATCACGAACACGAGGCGCGGCTCCGAGTTATCGACCAGCTCAATTGCGGCTCCACCGTACGCGGGACGGGCTACGACCTGGAGAGGCGGTAGAGGCACGTGGCCCGCGCTGATCGGCATCAGGTTGTAGATGAGACTGTAGCTGCCGCCGGGGGGGATACGGGTGGTGCAGTGCTTGAGACCGGCGAAGAGAAAGGCCTCATTGTCGCTGAAGCTCAGAGCAACCTCCTGCGGGCAGGCCCCCGGGGGGGGTGTGAGGGAAGACGGATAGAGGGGTGAGCTATGCATAGGTAGAGGGGTGAGCAGTGAGAGGGTGAGCTATGCATAGGTATATAGCCAGGGTTTGGTGTTGCGAGGGCTAGGCCTAGGGTCAATTATTGCTAGGTATAGGGCCAGGGTTAGTTACTGCGAGGGCTAGGGCTAGGGTTAGTTATTGCGAGGGCTAGGGCTAGACGTGCCTGTAGCGCGTCTGAATTGTTATCGACGACAACTGTGAGCGCGGTGAGAGCTCCCACTGTACCGCTCGTGGGAAGTGCGACGCGCAAGGAGAGAGGACACACAGCGACCTGCAGCGGCGGCAGCGCCACGACAGTTTCCTGCACCTGTAGGTGTCATGTTAGGTAATAAGTGGAGCTAGTGGAACTAGCTACCTGTAGGGGTCATTAGGTAATAAGTGGAGCTAGTGGAACTAGCTCCTCATCCTGGAAGCAACAGAAAGGGCGAATTGTAGGGGACAGGGGAGGGAGGTGTGGTTTTGCTTTCATACATATCCATTTCTTCATTTCCTCTTTTATTTCTTTGCAAAGGAATTAAGTTGTAACATCGTAAGCGTCTCGCTCGCTTGAGCCTCCCCTCCCATGCGGACACACCCCACACCACCCATCCCACAACAACAACAACAACGATGCGCGTATCATCATATAAATATAGATATATAGATATCTGGATATCTGGATCTATGGATATATATCCATATGTCCATATATTTATTTATACATATACATGTACATACACACACACACACACAGATATAATGAATGCGCGGTGGCGCCCAAGCCAGCGCAGCCGATTAAGGCACGCAGCAGGCAATGGGCGACGCAGCGCTCAGACCAGCACAACATTCAGAGCAGCAGACGCCAGCTTGAAGCCCTATCAGAAATAGAATGAATTTAGGGGGATTCTGGCTGGTGGTGAGTCAAGTTCAATTAAAAAAATAGCAACAACTATGCGCGTACCATCATACACACACGCACACACACACACACGCGCGCCCACACACACATATTACACATATATATATATATATATATATATATATATATATATATATATATATATGTTAAATATATATATAACATATATATATATATATTTATAATTATATATAGAATTATAGAATTATAATTATAATTATATAATTATAGAGTATATAGATTAGATTAGATTATATATATATATATATATATATATATATATATATATATATATATATATATATATGTGTGTGTGTGTGTGTGTGTGTATGTGCATATCATTATATGGATGTAGGGGGATTATAGCTGGCGGTAAATCAATTTCAAGTAATGAAATAACAACGATGCGCGTACCATTGGACGCCTCCCCTTGGACTCCCTTCCCGGCGAGCCGTCCGCAGGCGCCCCACGGCGACGCCAGCGCACGCGCAGCAAACCCGCGCTCGGTAGCAGGCCTACGGAGGGGGGCATAGGAGTATATACAATCATATTAGAAAATATAGGATTGGGGGCGATAACGATTGTCCAACAACTCGTGACAGCAGACTAAATTCGAATCCGGATTGGGCCGAATACGGGCAACTGTCAAGCAAAGGCAGTTGCAACCCCATCGTATCTCTATTGAGATTCCTGGAGTCTAGCTTTATAGGATAGCGAATTAGTGAGAAATATGAGTTCAAGTAGGAGTACACCAATTTGAGAATCCTATTAGGCTCGACTCCAGGCATCTCAATTCTGAGCAGTTTACTACTCAAACCACGCCCGGTAGAAATAAAGTGCTTCATTCCAATTCGAATACTATTACATGTTCTTAAGGAGTGACACATAGGAGCACATAGAAGAAAAATTACATACGATTGAGAAATATTTCTATATGTGCCATTCCTTAGGCCTATATAAGAGCACAAAGAGAGGCACATATGAGCAAGAACGCTTGTTCAGTTAAGAGGAGGATTATTGCGTCGCCCTGACCGGCCGGCTAGAGACGCCGTGTTGGAAATCGCGGCCGGGGGAAGGAGATTACAGCCGCCCCTGTGGAAAGGGGCAGGTTCGGCGAGCTGTGCTCAGCGCACGTCATTCTTATATTATTACATACAGGATTGGAAAATAGGAGTTTAAGAAGGAGTAGACCAATTCGAGAATCCTATTAGGCTAGACTCCAGGCATCTCAATTGGAGATACGACGAGGTTGTGCAGGGCGTTGGGCGAGGGGGAGGGAGGGGGGAGGCACATGCGCCTCTGGGGACGGAAGACATCACCCGGAAGACATCACCCACCCACCCACACGACACACACAACACACACGCACGCACGCACACACACACACATACACATACACAACACTCACGCAACCACAGTTATAATACCTGCGCCCCTGGGGATAGCGTCGAGCTGCACCCGGAAGACATCCCCGAGCCGCACGCTGACGGGAGCGGAGGCGTCCACCATCGGCATCGGCA